AAAAAAAAAAAAAAAAAAGAGTTCCGTTCTTGACTCAATCTCCCCAGACTCCGAGTGAGAATGGGAGATCGGGGTGTTACAGCCAGAGGGGACACGCCGGCCGCCACGAGCTCCCCGCTCTCACTCCATCTGGTCTCCCCTCACCTTCCTGAGCGTCTCTGCTGATTCTACCAAGTGCGAGTGTTCCAAACATACAGAAGATGACATCACTGCATATCTACCACCTAGATGTAGGAATCACATCCGTGTTTCCCATATTTGTTTCAGCAACTTTCTTTGGTATTCTAAAGTTCTTAGCTTTATAAATCTTAAACATTTATAAATTAATTTTTTTTAAATGATAGGACATGACAGGCCATAGCAGAGGAATAACAATTGTTCTGTGCAGAAAGCCATTTCTGCGGGTAGAGTAGGTGGGCCTCAACACTGCTTCCAGGTCTTACCTAATCTGGCTACTTTATAATATTTACTAGAAAGTTCAGAATGCCAAGTAGGACTCTCAGACCTGTACTGAGAAAGAGCATTTTGTTACCCGCTCTTTCCTCAGGCTTCATTGGATGTTTCTACCAGATATAAAGTGATCTTAAAAGGTTTCAAATGGGGGAGGGGGGGAGTCACAAGCAAAAGAAATCAAAATGATACCAGAGTTCTCAAAAACGGGGAATTAGAGGGCAATATAGCAATGATTTGTACATTTTGAGGGAAACGATTTTAAACGGAGCACATTACACATAACACCTGTACCAATTCCTACCAAGAGATGTCATTAGAAAGTTCCTGGTTTCCAGGGATGGAGATGTCCGACTTTCTCAAATAAAGCCCTTTTTCATGTTGATAACTCTGATGGGAAAGTCAGTTAAGAGTTCATCCTTTAGTGTAAATTTGTAAGGCTTCCCCAGTTAAATTCTAAGCATTTTCCAATATATTCCCAGTAGGTCACAGTCCTACATACTGTCTTCTCCTTAGCATCCCCTCCCACACATGGAATGGCTCTGGGCCCTTGCTTGGTCTCCCTGCTGAATCTGGTGGGGAACCTGTCTTCTCTGAATCACTCATGACATGATTTGTAGTAACACAGCCAAGACTAAATAAAATTGTTCAAGTGAGTATACTAAAGATCCACACTGTTAGATATATAACAAAACTATAAATTATAAACAAAACTATAAATTCTCAGAGGGGTGTAGGCATTACATACAAAGTAAAACTCAAGAACTGGTAGGGCGCCGAATTATATGATTAATACCATTATCTTAACAGGTGCTTCTG